CACAGAGGATAGAAAATAGGATATATTTGGATGAAGACATACTGTCCCTTATTTGGAATTGGCATTCTCATTAGATGCCAGAGATATAATCTGAGTAAGATACAGTATCTGCTTTCAAAGAACTTGACAGACTTCTAAATTAGGCAAACAATATAATTTACAAGAAAAACAAGTAACTACTGACTATGTGCTGGGAAAATGTAGAATACAGAAATCAAAGTCTTTTTCTCTAATACGTATTAGATTATTCATTTCTATTTGTATGCAAAATCATAAAGATTCATTATGTATGAGAATACTTCCTAAAGTTCATGGAAAAATAAAATTCAAAGCCAAGTTGATTTTGGTGCAAAAAATTGAAATCATGCATTGTTTTTCATAGTCCACATTTTCTATGAACTTTTTGAAGAATGCTGATAGAAGTTTCCAGGATATACCAAATTTTTGTGAGTTAAACTATGTTTTTTCATGAGATTGTGTTATAAAATGTACAATGCCATAGAAACCTAGGGAGGTAACTTGAAGTCACTAGGAAGGTTTTGGTAGTAACTGATCTTAGCACACATGTGTGCACCTTCTATGTGCACTAGTTTCAGTCTCTGCTTAATTCTCTGGGATTTTTCCCTAAAATTTATAAAAATTATAACAACCTATTTGAGAATACTTGAAAGGCTCATGGACCTTCAAATATAATTCCCTTTACTCTTAAGTTTACGTCTAACCATTCAACTCCAGTGTTTTATTTTATGTTAATTACTGCCTGACAATATACTTCAAAGTCTTTTAATTAAGGGATCTAACTCTATAAACAAATTGTATCCAATTATACCAGTCATATCCAACAAATGATTTAAATTAAATAGACTTGCGAGGCAGGCATTACGGCATTGTGGGATAAGTTGCCATTGGGGCACTCACATCCATTATTAGAGTGCTTGGAGTCAAGCCCCACCTCTGCTTCCAAACCACCTTCTTGTTAACACACACACTAGGAGGCAGCAGTCGATGACTTTTATGTCTTAAGTACTTGGATCCCTGACACCCATATGGGAGACCTGGGTGGAGTTCCTGTCTCCTGGCTTTGGCCTAATTCAGCCCCGGCAACTCTGGGTATTTGGGGAGAGTGAATCAGTAAATTAATCTCTCTCTCTCTCTCTCTCTCTCTCTGAGCTTCGAATATTATCTTAAATTTACATATGCGACTGTGTAACATTTTAAATTACTCCTGGAATGTGTAGATTATATATTTGGAAATGTTCTTCTTGGTCTATGACACTGGAGAGAGTTCCTCTTTCTCTACTTTTCTCTGACTTTACTCACTATGGCTAATCTCACTAGCCTATCACTATGGAAGAGTAATTAGAGAGCAAAGCCAAAAAAGTGGATTACTCAAGTTTACCTGGTTGAAAATAGCTTGCTTGCTCTTCTTCTTGCATGGATGCTATTTGATAAGAATAACCAGTCTCCACATCAGGAATTATTATAGATCACAAAGATGAAAATGTCCCTTAGCCAAAGTAGAAAAGAAGCCAAAGAAAATAAAATTGAAACTACAGAGTCACCGTGTTCTCTCAATGTAGCATAAAACCTGAACCACGGACTAAAAATAACCTTAAATCATAAAGAAAAGAATCCTCCAAATTGCATATTCAACACTGCTTTAGTCAACATGACTAATCTGAACAACCTAGCCTATGGGAATAAAGCAGCAAGTGTCAGTATGCTCCAAAATGGCTACGTGGCCTTACAGAAGTCTGAAATTTAGGGTTTGTCAGCCACATTAGGGAATTCATGCAATTAGCTGAAGATCTTCAGAAACCCTTTCTTAGCTTTTCTAGGATATTAGGTTTCATGTCTTTTCTATGGCTGTCTTCTTTGTCTATTGACCTTTTTGAGAACTAGGTGACTCCTGAATGCCTTTCTTTTTGGAAACTCAATACCATGTACTATGAGACTGATGGTATTTTGACAGATGTATTCCAGATGATGGTCTCTTTTGTCTCTGTGTTCCAGTTCTATTTTGTATTGAGGTTACATCCCTAACTTTGTCTAATTTTTCATTATTCTTCCCTGCCATTCCACTCTTCCCAAAACAAGTGCAAATAATCATTTAGGTTCTCTCTCTCTCTTTCTCTCTCTCTCTCTCTCTCTCTCTCTCACACACACACACACACACATACACACATACACCCACACACACAGTCTGTAGACACATACATACAATCCCATAGAAACACACAGAAACACACAGACACACTCAATCCCAGACACATACACCTGGAAATCAATCACTCTTATCCATCTTCCACTTTGATTTGCCTTACTGCAAACCTTGTAAGACATCTTCAGGCCAGACAATTGCCCTCAATAAATCCAGGGATGTCTAATACATAGCTATCTTTTGACCATAGAATAGGAATCTTTTTAGAAAAAAATACATAAATCTGCATGATAGAATCTCAAGAGATGTTGTCATAATTCTTTTTTTTTTTACCTAACAAATACAACCTGATATTTCAAATGTGTGCTTCTAGAACTATTTTAGATCCAATCAGTCATCTCTGAATTATCATCTTCATTTGTCATCAAATTTTCTAATAACTCAGTGTAGCTTTGCATTCATTCTTAATAGGTGGGAAATGAAAATTTTATTTTGCTAAGATTTTGAGAGAAATGATAAATCATATCTGTGACTTCTCTTGGAAACTTCAATATTTATGCTGTGTGCCTCATTTCACACACTCTCCTTGTCTAGGGTGAGGGCAGATAAAGAGATCATGATTCATCTCTTAATTTTTTATTTATTCTGAATATAATCGCATATTCCTGTCACTAGCTTATTTAGACCTGCCATATTTCTGTTAATGCAGTGACTTCCTTTTAGTTTTTAAACTGCATTCTGCTTTTAAAGAGATGGACAGGAAAATTATTAAATATATCACAAACTTTCCCTCTACAGGGAGGATTATACAGAGTTGCAGTAGAATAAAGTAAAATACATGACAAACTCCCATGTATAATACATACAGTAGTCAAAGAACAAACTCATCGTAACTGTTAAACATCAATTATTTAATAGTGATCCATTCAGTAAGAACTGCTAACATTTTAAGCATTTTTTCCAGAACAGCTTTACTTTATAGTATTGTAAATATAATATGTCACTATTTGCTAGTACAGAATTGACATATTTTATTTTTTCTTCTAAATCAGACACAATTTAATTAAACAATATTTTAAATTGATCCTTTGGTGAATATGTTATTTTCAGATGATCTTGCCTTTTGCAATAGTATTTGTTTAAAAGAAATGGTTATTGAATGTAAAGATCTTTCAGAACCATTATTATTATGCTGAAATGGATTACTTAGCACAGAAACTTTTTTGAGGAAGCAGAGGTTGTGGTGCAGCAAGTTAAGCCAGTACTCAGGAGACCCACATCCAATATTGGAATGCCTGGTGCAAGTCCTGGCCTCAATGCCTTCGCTCCATCTTTCTGCTAATGTGCCTGGGAGACAGCAGAGGATGGCTCATCTACGTGAGTCAGTGCCACCCATGTGGGAAACCTAGATGGAGTGCCTGGCTCCTGGCTTCAACCTGGCCCAGTTCTAGCTATTTCAGCCTTTGGGGAGTGAAGGAGTGAACCAGTGAATGGAGGATTTCCCCTTTCTCTGTCTCTCTCCGTCTTTCACTCCCCACCAAATCTTTGAAATAAATAAATCTTTAAAACAAAAGTTTTCTTCCTCAGAGACCTGTCAAAAAAGATAAATTATTTTATTATATTTTAGGAGCCAAATTTACAAATTCAACAATGTATTTTCCTAATGAATCTTAATTTTCTTATTTTTGGTCATTCCTTATTTATGAATTAGTTTTCTAAAGTAAGATGATAAACTCTCTGTGAACTTGAATCCATTTTCAAAGAATCAACCATTTTTATAAGGCCAGTAACTCAGTGGCGTGAGGCTAGGCTTACATGAATGCTTCTCTCCTTTTTTGGAGATACATTACTGGAGAAACATTCAAGAAATTTCTGGGCTTAAACAACACGCCAAATGAGACAGAAATAAAAGTGTTCTCCCTGACAGTCCTCAACTTTTAAAATGGATTAATGGCTATCTAAATGTACTTATTTTACTGCCACATAAAACATCAAGCAGATTGTAAAAGAGAGGCCTCACGGTAAGAAACAAGAGAGTGAGGTTTTGAAAATGTTGTTTTAAGAAAACAAAGTAGAGTCCTAAGCTCATAATTGAAAAAGTGGAGGAAAAGTAGATCCTTGGGTTGCAAGGTGCATTTCAGACGTTCCTCAGAAGACAGCTCTCTGAATGGTGCAGCAATTCATTTTTTTTCTTTATGAATTCAACTTCTTAGAGTGATTGTCAACAATGTGGTATAGTGGTGATGGAAAGAGATCTCTCTTACACCAAACATCTCAATATAATATTTCAGAGTTAAAATAGATTTTTAGATTTCATTCCATATTTTATCATCTTAAAAACATTAAGAGATATAAAAGCTTAAAATTTGAAATAAAATGTCAAAACACACATTATTACACGGTGTTTTTATATTTCATATTGTTATACCAGTCACACATATTTACACCTAATATAACAAGTCTATAAACACATTTGTTCATTCCAGAAATGTTTATCTTGCACCCAAATGCCCTATTTAGGGAGTTAAAATCATGACTGAAACAGACACAGACCTTGTCCCTGAAGAGGTAATGATCTAGTGAAAAAATATAGGGATTAAGGAAGCAAAAGCAATTTTTTATTAGTTGCTAACATTAGTTAATATATCAAAGCTGGTTCTCCACAATCTTTCCCAATTATCTATCTATCTGATTATTTTCCTGTTAAGTTAATGAAACCTAATATCATCACACGTCTGTCCCATAACCTTAACTATGAATTCATAGTGAGAAAATTCAGGTCCACTGGGATTTGCAAAGTGTCCGGCGCATAACAAATCTTCCCAGGCAGACGAATCAATTAATTCACAGGCTTTTACTGGAGTTCCATTCCCGGGCGAGGTTCCATGGCCTCAACAGAGCAACAGAGCAGGGGCCGGAGCAGTTGCGCGTCAGAGATTGGGAGAGGTCCTTTTATAGATTCAGGGCATGGGAGTTGAGGCGGGTCTGGTCCTCATTGGTTGACCTTTAGGCACCTACAGGGACCTTGACAAGGACTTTTCTTCCCTGGAAGTACAGGTAGGAACTTTCCATTCCTGGAAGTATAGGCCTTCCCTCCTTACGGATCCAAAGCTACCAGGATTGACAAGCATCGGCTGAAGACGGGCTCACATATCAACTTCCTCCCTATGAGAATATCAGTATTGCAGACCAACGGAGAGACATCACTACATATGTTCTAATCATTTTGCAGTAATACATTCATCTGAGTTGAATAGAGATATTCGGAGAATGCCTAAGATTAGAGGAAGAAGGTAAATTTTGGTGAGTGCAGGGAATAGTGAAACAGAGGGAAGTGGTGGGCAAATTTGACCCACATCAAGGCATTTTGTGGGTCTGACCCTGAACCTTGCCAGGACACATTCACATTCTTTAAGGCTATTTGGTAAGCTAAATTTTCTTAGAGGGGACTTTAAACAGTACTACAATTTCTTCTATACACACGACTGGAAATAATGGGAGGGTTCAGAGAGGAATCTAACATGGGTGTAATGAAAATCATTATGGGCTATCCCTTTCATTCATAATTTCTCTGTTAATCTCCACTCTAACTCTAGGGGTCAGATACACTTACCCTTTCTTTATGGAAGATGAAAATCGGACTGAGAAAATTTTTCATCTACTCCATAACAAGGAGAAAAGATGTAATTTCTTCTATATCTTATTCTGTTGCACCTAAGAAATGAAATGCCATCAATTAGTATTTAAATACTGTTCATAGGCTTATTGACAATAAGTACATTTTTCAATTGATAATGAATAATAATTGTTTCCAATTCTAGTCAGTAAATTTCATATCTTTGCTAAATGCTGTGCCATTAAAGTGACTCATTACATTATTATTAAACTCTAACTATAAAAATTTATTCTAAAAATCTTGTTGTAGGTGTTTGTTTCTACATCTAGATTCATACAAAATGAAAGGAAATCTATGCTAAAATCTGCAATATGGAAATCATCACTGAAAAATGTCAGGTTTTCCTTATGCCAGTTATAGGACACAATTCAATAAATCATTTTGTATGCATTATTGTTGAAGCAGTTTAACCTAAATTAGCATATTTAAAACTACTTATGGAATACGTGGAGAGTATTATAATAGGAATTAACACAAAGAACTTAATAGCTTTCTGCCAACTTTGACTTAATGAAAATGAATATAAAAGCAAGAGAAAAGACTTATTTAAAGACAATAAAAGTTATGAATATCTATGCTCTTTTAAAAAATAATTGATTTATTTGAAAGAAAAAGTGAGCTCACATTTAGTGGTTCATTCTCCAGATGACTATAATAACAGGCTGAGGCTGGCCAAAGCAAAAGGTGGAAAATTCAGTCCAGGACATGGGTTTAGATATGGATATGTCTAAAGCAAGAACTCACCTTTTTAAGCCATCACCCTGCCTCCTAGCATCTGCGTTGGCAGGAAGGTAAAATTAAGAGCCAGAGTGAGGTGTCATCCCATGCATTCTGGTATAGAACACAGCTTCTTAAAGAGTGTGTTAACCACTAGGTTAAATGTCTACTTGCTCTATGTCCTTTTGATAAAGAGCTCAGTAAATGTAGATGCCATTACAGGATCCTAAAAATTTAGTAAAAGTTCATTTGTTCCTAACATGTATTGAAATTATAAGAATTCAAATATTATTAGACCAATACAATAACAGGTACCTCATTAAAACAGACTATAAAGTTCCCAATGATTCCAAGATTTACCATAGATTCAAATTATATAAATTTATTTCATATAAGTGGCAGAATATTTTTAAATAAATTATGCTAGAATAATTTTTGTTACAGTAAAGTATTATATTCTTACATTCCACACTAAATTAGTCAACATTAAAATGTAAAGTTCAAAAATTTACAAAAATACTAATGCATAACATGAATGATTATTTATGTGACATTCAGGTACATATTTCTAAGTGCTCTAAAACAGGAAATATAACAGAAGGGATGAGCCAAAACAGACCTCATGCTAGCCTGAATTGAGTACAAGGTGAGAGTGTGAGGATGCAACATCTCCCTTGGCTCCTCATGAGAGTATCATATAAAATATGAAAAATCAAACTGAGAAAACACCTGCTAGAGCTAATCCCAAAAGAAGAATTCTGAGCAATTCACCTGACCTTCTAAAACAAACATAAATATCAGATTAGTAAGGGAGACTTCAAGTCTTAGAACCCAAGATACCTTGGATTAAGTCTTTAATGAGATTTTCACATCTTTGAAAATTTCACTAAGGTTTTGGAATCACAATTCTCTTAACTACAAGGTAAAGACATTAAAAGTACTTAACTACTTGAGTAATTGTGAGAATTCAGATTATAAATCAGGTGTATGGACATTGTGTTTAAGATGCCAGTTAAGATACCCATGACCCATATTGAAGTAAATACCCGGGCACAACAGCTGACTCTGGCTCCTGACTCCAGCTTCCTACTAATGCAAACTGGGAGGTAGCAGTGATGGCTCAAGTGATTGAATTTCTGACACCCACACTGGGAACCAGAATTGAGCTCAGCTTCAGTTCTCAGAGGCATTTGGGAATTGAACAAATAAGTGGTAGTTCCCTCTATGTATTTGTTTATCTTTCTTCACGATGACTCATCTACTAGTACTAGTACAAAATAATCTTTGTATTCTATTTTAATACTAAAATACTATTTCCAGATAGAAAACACATATGAATCTCTCTCTGGAAAGAAAATATATCAGACTATTAATGTTGTCTTTAAAAATTGAATTAAGTTCTTTTCCTGTTTTTATTTTTCTCATATTCCTCAAAACTAAAGACAATAGGTAATAATTCCTCTAATGGTAATAAATTTGATGACTTATTTTCTTTTCCATATATAAAAATCTTTAATTTGATTTATATGCTTCAAATGTTCACAAAATAATTACCTAAGTAATAAAAATTACCATAAAAATTAATTATGGTTAGAAAATAGCAGCTAATGTAAATAATTCTTGCTAAGAATTTCCTAAAGGCTCATTTAAAAAATGGTAAAAGTATAATTGCATTGTGAGGTTAAGAGTTCCTTCTCATTTTTTATCATACTACTGCAAATATTTATAGCTACACACAGAGCTAGAAACTTAAAAGTGAGTCTAGTACTTCTGAAACTTAATGATGTCCAATACTTTTTTTTAGTGAAACTTGCATCCATGTTGAAACCTCTGAATGGTGGTATTATCTCCATCTGAACTTTATTATTTCCAAGAAAAGAAAACTTTGTTTCTCCCTATAACCTCTGCCTTCTCCACTCTTTCCTGTCTCAGAGAATACCACCATCATTCATGCAGCCACTCTTAATTCCTTTTTTTCTTCTCTCCATCACTGTTTAATTCATAAACCAGTCCTGTGGACTGTGCCTCAAAAGATATATTGAATCAATTGATTTTTTCTCCTCACTATGCCTCTGAGCTACCATCATCTGATATTGGGCCACTACTGTAGTGTCCTAACTGCCTGTCTTACTCTGCCATACAAGGCACGCTCCACAACAGTAATCCGAATTATGTATTAAGATTGAGATTATGTTTGGTAGTAAATAATGATTGTGAGCTTATTATGAAAGAAATAATGTTCAGGAATTTTACATTATTTAATCGACTCCTCAAAACAGCGACAAAGTCAATAGGTCCCATTCTATACCTGTGGAAGCTACATATTGTGAGGGTCAAATAGTTGCCTAAATTAAATAATCAGTATTTAAAACTGAGAAAATCCAACTGTGGGGCTGATGCTATTAACTACTATACCGACAACCTCTTAGCCTATCTTTCCCTTTCTTAAAATTTTCCATTGACTTTTCAAGAATATCCAATACTTGCAAAAATATATTAAAATGAATATGTCTTACACAGTGCCAAAACACAGTAAATGTTTGATAATAAGATTATCTATCAAATACTGATTGCTATTCCTAAATATTACTAATATTTTGTGATTTGAAAATCTTAGCAATTTATTATTGCCCAGTAATAAGGACCATGGGTGTGGAGGCTGACATCCACATTCTTCAAGTTTCTCATGTTTTCTGGCAAGGTAACAGAAAAAGAGGGAGTAAGGATTGTTTCTAGTGCAGATGGAGAAATGTTTTTAAAAACGTATAAAGAGTTTTTTCTAATAAACATTCTCTGCTATTGGGGGACTAATAGGAAGATAGAGCTACACATAAAGTAGGAGAAGATGAGACATGTGAAACATACGCATATAAAAGAATAGTAGGCCAGCGCCATGGCGCAGTAGGTTAATCCTCTGCCCACAGGGCTGACATCCCATATGGGCACTGGTTCTAGTCCCGGCTGCTCCTCTTCTGATCCAGCTCTCTGCTATGGCCTGGGAAAGCAGTAGAAGATGGCTCAAGTCCTTGGGCCCCTGCACCCACATGGGAGACTGGAAGAAGCTCCTGGCTCCTGGCTTCAGATTGGTGCAGTTCTGGCCGTTGTTGCCATTTGGGGAGTGAACCAACAGAAGGAAGACCTTTCTGTCTCTCCCTCTCACTGTCTGTAACTCTACCTGTCAAATAAATAAATAAATCTTTAAAAAAAAGTATAGTAGTGAATATTTTCCAACAGTACAAAATTAATTTAAATCATGTCTTTTAACTTAAAAAGAAGGGACATACTTTAAGATTCTAGAAAAGAGCGTAAAATCAATTGTATGCCACTCGAATTTTATCTTTAGATATATAAGTTGCTAGTTAGTATGTTATGTGGTATTTTATTGTTCTGTTTAAATTTAAAAATTTATTTATGCATGCACAGTATTTTAAGGCTTTCACTGTGTTAACATGCAACCTGATTGGCTCCCTGCATCTCCCTAACCTGATTTAAATATATATAAATTCTCCAAAAATGAATGATTTCTGGAGCAACCCCTACTTTGTAAGATCTCTGGATTTGTTATCTTTTCCAATAGGCCCAATAACGCAATTATTTGGCTGGAATAACTTTAAGTCTGAAGGGTCTAACTCCAGGAGGGTGAAGCCAGCCCATTTGCTTGCAGTTTAGAGCAAATGGACTGCAAACTACAGAGCTATCCATGGTCCTGCCAGAGAGGTACCACACATGCATTCACTCATGTCAGACCGTGAAAACTGACATTTGTCTGATACCTAGGAATATTATTAGCCTTACTGCCTTGCTTTAACAGTTACAACTAACCCAATTTCATCTTTAATTACGGTTTTAGTCATGTGGTTCATGACTCTTCAATATCATCAATCTATTTAATTTTATATAATCTAAGGAATGGTGTTCTGGTGTGCTGGGTTAAGCCACCACCTATGATGCTGGCATCCCATATGAACATTGGTTTCTGTTCCAGCTGCTCCACTTAAGATTCAGCTCTTTGCTAATGTTCTGGGGAAAGCCAGAGAAGATGGCCCAAGTATTTGGGCCCCTTCTACCTACATGGAGACCTGGATGAAGCTCCTGGCCCCTGGCTTTGAATTGGCCCAACTATGGCTGTTTTGGTCATCTGGGGAGTTAATCAGCAGATGGAAGATAACTCTGTGTGTGTGTGTGTGTGTGTGTCCCTCCCCATATTGATTTTCAATATAAATATTTAAAATATATTACATATTTTATTGTATGTATAATTTGTGATGGATAGATATAATTCTAATTATATTGGGAGACCTGTAGTGAGTAGACTAGAAAT